AAAATAGTTCAAGCATATGTGTTTGGAGTCATGTTCTTGTTCATCTAGGAAAGTTTTTTGTTGGTTGAGTTTATATTTTGGGAAGTTTGTAGCCTCATGGTTGAGTTTTCTATACATCCTCGCCTGGTTAAATGCATGCCTAATGTATAAAAATTGTGGCAAAGTGTTCTGTTGCCTGTGTTTGTAAACATATTAGAATTTTTGGTTTCTCATATTTCCTTATAATTTCAATTTTCAGTTGTGTGCACTTTATTTTATTTCACAACTTTGCATGTTTTTTCCATAACATTTGTGAGTAAGTTTGCTATTGAAATGATTTGGGTGTGTTGTGGTCTCCTAAGAGTGATTAGATTTAATACCATAATACTTCACTACAGGGAATTGTATTGACCATGTGCATGAACCGTTTTTATTTGATACAAATGTAGCATGCTTTTCTTGACCTTGTTTGAGTCTAATTATTGATCATTAAATGTTTATTCCCATGAATAGCATATGTTTAGCAGTATATATATGATATGTATGCTATTGTATAGTGCTTATGAATTTGTTAGTGTTATTTTGATTCACTTGGTTTGCTTTAGAGTCATGTATTCCGGTCTAATTAAAATCTCTTAAGTAGATTTTCGTTTTGGTAAAATCTGTTCTCGTTCCAAATATACCTTGTTTATTATATCATTTCATATGCTAATTCACTTCTACTTTATTGCAGGTAAAAAATTCCTTTTGGGTCCCTACACATCCTACTTCATCCATTTGCATTCTCTTGTTGAGCCGTAAAGGCTCAAATCTTTATCCCCGAGTCGGACAGCCTCTTCGAAATTGACCTACAGGTTAAGAGAAGCAAGTATACTGTTGGGAATTAAATTTACAAAAGAGAAGTAGGGTTCAGGACAATCGATCCTATTTCGATTATACGGCTGGGTTCTAAACCAAAAAAGGGTATTTGAAAGCCTGTGATGAAACCAACAATGTAAGCTGGAAAGTATCTCATTCCTCCATTAATGGAGGTTGAGTTCCTGGCAGTAGGACGAAAGGAAGAAGAAGAATGTGCCTTTTAGTTTGGAATCTTCTGATCTTAATCAATGTATTGGATGTGTATATATACACATCAATGAGAACTTAACAGATTAACAAATCAAAAAAATGCAAAACATGTAAATACTAACTAACTATAACCAACTATAACTAACTACTTGAAAGATGAATAGTAGTAACTAACTAACTAACTAATTGATAACTAATTCATACTAATTAAGCTAGTTTTATCACCCCTTCCCCCCCTCAAGTTGGAAGTGAGCTGTTTACAGACAACTTGTTCAACAAATTAGTATGCTTAATACCAGTCAATGCCTTAGTGAAAACATCAGCCAGCTGAGAGTCTGTTGAAACATATTGGAGTGTAATCAGTCCTTCTTGTAGCTTTGTCCTGACAAAATAGCATTCAACCTCTATGTGTTTAGTTCGTTCATGAAATACTGGATTCTTAGCAATGTGTACTGCTGCTTGGCTGTCACAAAATACATGTATAGGCAAAGAGTGTCACTGAGAGTTCACCAAGTAGTCTTTCTAGCCATACCACTTCTCCTACTACTTGTCTTGTAGCTCTGTATTCTGCTTCGGCTGATGATAATGACACTGTAGGTTGCTTCTTAGACTTCCAACTGATAGGTCTATCTCCCATGAGGACCAAATAACCACTCACTGACTTCCATGAATCAGGACAAGAAGCCCAATCTGAGTCACAGTAAGCACTAATGGTGATGTCAGGTCTATTATTGATAAAAACTCCCAAGGTAAGATCATGTTGTAGATATCTGAGTACATGATAAGCTGCCTTTAAATGAGGTTCTCTAGGAGATTGCATGAATTGACTGAGGTGCTGGACACTATATGCTATATCCATTCTTGTGTTAGCAAGAAAATTAAGTTTACCTACTAATTTTCTGTAGTGAGTAGGATCTGGTACTAGTTTGCCTTCTTTAAGCCTTAGTTTCTCAGTGGGATCCAATGGTGAAATGGTAGACTTGTAGTTCATAAAATCAAATTCCTTCAAGAGATCAAGAGTAAACTTTCTCTGTGAAATAAGGACACCATCCTGCCTGTACAATATCTCTAACCCAAGAAAGTAATGCAATCTTCCTAAATCTTTTATTCTGAATTTCTCATGCAAGAAGAACTTCAAATATTCAATCTCCTTCATATCAGTACCAGTTAAGACAATGTCATCAACATATACAGCCACAAACACTAAAGAGTTACCATTTTTCTTGTAAAACAGTGAGTAATAACTGTCTGAATGAACATAACCCTTTGAGCAAAGACTATTAGCAAGTTTCTCATACCACTGTCTACTGGCTTGTTTCAGACCATATAAGGACTTCTTCAATTTGCAGACCATATCACTACTGTCCACTACCAGCCCTGGAGGTAATGACATATACACCTCTTCATTCAAATCACCATGTAGGAAGGCATTATTTACATCCAATTGATACAATTTCCAGCCCTTCTTTACTGCCAATGAAATTAGTGTTCTGACTGTAGTCATTTTTACCACAGGTCAGAAGGTTTCATTATAGTCTATCCCAGCTTGTTGAGTGTATCCTTTTACCACCAGTCTAGCTTTGAACCTTTCTATGCTCCCATCTGCCTTATGTTTAATCTTATACACCCATTTACATCCAATAACATTCTTTTCTTTTGGCATCTTAACCAGCTCCCAAGTATTATTAGTATGCAATGCATCAAATTCTTGTTTCATTGCTGCTTGCCAGGCTAGATTCAAGCTTGCCTCTTCATAAGATGTGGGTTCAATATCATGTGAAACATTATGAATCAACTGCTGACTCTCAGAACATAATGCAGAGAAGCATACATGATCAGGATGATTTGTGAAAGATGTGAGTGAATGTTGAGAATCAGCAACATTATTTATAGGTAAAGAAGAATGTAGCTTAGGTAATGAATAGTTGTAGTCTTTTAAGTAGCTTGGAGGATGACAGGATCTAGTTGTCCTTCTAGGTGTAAGAACAGATACATTTGGTCCAGTAGGTGTTGTGACAGGTATATTTAGTCCAGTGGGAGGTGTTGTGGATTCAGTTATAGGTGTATTTTCAAGTATGGGAACTTGATCACAGGTGACTTCATCCAGTGTGTGATGATTCAACATTTCATCATCAATAAAAGTATTTGTTTTACTAGACATGCAAGGCAACTTATCAGAGTAATGAACAAGACATTGCAGTATAGAATCAAAACTGGAACCAGCAGGAGTAATGACAAAAGGAAGAACAGTTTCATAGAAAAAAACATCTCTAGACACATGAATTCTCTTGGTAGCCAAATTTAAGACCTTGTACCCTTTTGTATTAAAAGGATATCCAATGAAAATGTGAGGTACAGTTCTTGGTTCAAATTTGTCTTTATGAGTTTTTAAAGTAGTTGGAAAACAAAGGCATCCAAAATTTTAAGATGAGAGTAAAAAGGTTTCTTCTGATATAACAACTCATATGGAGATTTCCCTTGAAGTAGTTTAGTAGGTAATCTATTAATCAAATAAGTGGCAGTTAGCACACACTCTCCCAATACCTCATAGGTATTTTTTATTAAAATAACAGTGCCCTTGCTGTCTCAAGAAGGTACTTGTGTTTCCTTTCTACTACCCCATTTTGTTGTGGTGTGTAAGGACAAGATTTCTGGTGTATTATGCCTTTTTCTTGAAAGAAACATGTTGCTTCAGTACTATAGAATTCTAAGCCATTATCAGACATGATAGTTTTCAATCTGGTGTAAAATTGATTTTCTATTAAGGATATGGAGGCTTTTATAGTATGAAGAGCATTACTTTTACACCTAATAAGTTGTGTCCAAGTAGCTCTACTGTAATCATCTACCATAGTCAAGAAGTAGTGATATCCATCATGTGTTGGTACATTAAAAGGTCCCCATTAATCAACATTCAACAACTCAAATATTGAACTAGTTGTAGTAACACTTTCTGGAAATGGCATTCTAGTTTGTCTAGCCATTGGACAAATTGTGCAAGTGAAAGGTTGTTTGTTAGAAAACTTTAAAGGAATGGTAGATATGTTTTTCATTTTCACAAAAGGTACATGTCCTAATCTAGCATGCAATAAGAATTCATTGTCTTGACTGAAGGAAAAATGAGCAGCTGAATTAGAAACCTGATCAGTGGAACAGGCTTTTTTATTGATTATATGAGAGTGTATTGTACTAGGTGGTGATGGTGTTTTACAGTAGCTAAGAAGAGAAACAGATTGACAGTTCTGATGAGAAACAGTATCATCATTTACAGATGGAATGTGACACTTTGAACAAAAGAGATACAAACCATTCCTTGCCTTACCAAGTGCCAGAGGGCTCTTCGGAGAAGGGCCCTGCAGTAAACAAGAATTACTGTTAAAACTAACCATCCCTCTAAGTTGATTAGCTAAACAATAAACTGATATTAAGTTGAACTTGAAGCTAGGTATGTACAATACTTTATACAGAATTAATGTTGACTTCAAACACACATCACCAATTTCAGTCACTTTAACCTTGTATCCATTTGGTATGGTGATTAAGAAGGGATAAGGTAGAGGCTTAAGGTTTGTGAGATTGTGTTTTGTGTAGGTCATACGGTGAGATGCCCCTGAATCAATGATCCAAGAGCCAGCAATCAATTTCTCACATTTACATGACATATCACCTATCTTACTGATAGAATAATGGCAAGAAAGTATACATGTTAGGCTTGCAGCTCCACTTGACACATTGTTTGAATATTCAGATTCATTTCCAACATGCAGATTTCCAAGTAAATTGAGTAATTGTTCATATTGACTCTTTGACAGATTCACTGGCATTTGTTTTCCCTGTTCAAAATTTTCTTCACACTTGTTCCCATCACCTTCAGAGGTATGTACATTTGCTGCAGATCCTTTGCCTCTTCCTCTTGGATTTCTTGTGTTGGTTGGATAACCATGAAGTTTGTATCACCCATCTTTGACATGTCCAGTTCGTTTGCAATATTCACAAAACATATTTGATCTATTACCAGCATTAGAGTTTCCCTTATAGGTATTAGTGTTGTTGAAATTGCCAGTATTGTTATTGGTGAAGTTGCCAGTGTTGTTGTAGCTTCCATTTCCCCTACTTGTGCTTCCTCTACTAGAGTTTGTTGCATTATTTTGAGATAACATAGAAGCATTAAGTGAAGTGGACTCCAAGGCCATATGATTTAGAGGCTTCATTTCTCTCTGCCTCTTTTCTTGTGACAGTATAGCAAATTCATGTGCCATTGTAGGCAAAGTAGACATAATGAGGATGTTCCCTCGCACAGCAGTATACATCTCATTAAGAAGTGTATAAGTCTTCTATCCTGCTCATCCTTATACAATTTTACATTTCCTCCACAATTACACACACAACTACACTGTGAATTGACATCAATTGCACTCATTTCCTCCCATAATTTCTTCATTTTAGTATAGTAACCAGTAATATCTAAAGTACCTTGCAACAAGTCATTTATTTCCTTCCGCAATTGATATAGTTTGCATTCATTAGTCTGATCATATCTATGTTCCAATTCCTCCCATAATTCCTTAGCATTGTTAACATATTGTAGGCTATCTCGCAGCTCTGGGGAGAGGGAATTTAGGATCCAAGATGTCACCATATCATCACATCTCTCCCACTGCATGAATGCTGGATCTATAAAGCTTGGTTTGACAATCTTGCCATTGATGAATCCAGTTTTATTCTTAACATATGCTCTAAGAACTGCTCGTCTCCATGATCTGTAACTAGTTCCATCAAACACTACAGGAAGCAAGGTAGAAGCAGCATTTTCAGATGGATGTAGGTAGAAAGGGCTATTGAAGTCTGGTCGTTTTAAGGAGTTACTAGCATTCACGTTAGTTGAAATATCACCCATGGATAATGGATTGATATCAGCAAATGGAGAGTTTATGAATCAGCAACAAGTAACCAACCAAACAAAAAAAAACAAAGAAGAGAAGAGAAGAGAAGAGAAAATAGATCAAAGGATCAACTTGAATAAAGAAGATCAATGAATCGATCAACAATTAGATCAGGAGATCTAGTGTGAGAAACCTTGCTCTGATACCATGATGAAACCAGCAATGTAAGCTGGAAAGTATCTCATTCCTCCATTAATGGAGGTTGAGTTCCTGGTAGTAGGACGAAAGGAAGAAGAAGAAGGTGCCTTTTAGTTTGGAATCGTCTGATCTTAATCAGTGTATTGGATGTGTATATATACACATCAATGAGAACTTAACAGATTAACAAATCAACAAAAAATGCAAAACATGTAAATACTAACTAACTGTAACCAACTATAACTAACTACTTGAAAGATGAATAGTACTAACTAACTAACTAACTAATTGATAACTAACTCATACTAATTAAGCTAGTTTTATCAGCCTGAGAAGGAGGCTGTAGGAGAAAGTCTAGTATAACAGAAATCATCTAAGCTGACAAGGACCCAGAAAAGGAGGATGCTGAGGCTCAAAACAGATGGATATACCATATGTATACACTGATATACAGTCTTAATATACGACATACATGTTCAAGAAATGTAAAAACGCTGGAATTAAATAAAGGATATAATTTTCAACGAAAATGCAGGCGTAGAAGGTCCAAAGAGGGGTCGTGTACGGCCTATATACCAGAGTATACATAAAGTATATACACAGAATATTTTTGAAGGAAAATAGGCCTAAAGGCCCAAAAATTACAGCAGCAAAAAATGGGCTAAAAGGCCCAAAATTGATGCTTCTATCCCTGCTCCTTATTCATTAATAATTATTATAGCCACTAACATATTATTTGATTTTTTATTCTAATTTAGTTAATCCCGAAAGATAGCCATTTTTTAGATACTAAATATATATATCTGTGTGTGTGTTTATAACCTTGTCATTACTTTAACTTATTTCTCTTTAATAATTTCTCCCTTTAGTTCATTTCCATTTTAAATAACTAAGTAAAAATGAAGTAGTAGTAAAAAATAGTAAAAGAATTAAATTTGTTTTGTTTAGATAAATATTTGAAAATTATTCTAGAAAGGTCATTTAGTCAAATCGCCGATCAACCGCGAGTTAGCAGGCATTGCGAGGGCCAAACACCTTCTCGAAATTTACATTTGAACTTTGAACCCTTTTCAATTGATCTTTATCTGTTTTAAAATCTTTTGAAAAATATTTTTAAGTTTTTCTTGATTTTACTAAAAGTGGTGACTCTGTCAATTTGGAAGGTCGATTTTTCTTAAATCATAAGATTAATTGATTTTTCGAAACTTAATCATTTTTACTTTACTTATACCACATATATTTTTAAGTAAATCAATGATAATTATTGTTTGAACTAAACCTCGCGCTATCCTACTCTTCCCAATTTTACATTATTATATTGACAACATCTTCCTACTTAATCTTGAGTTGACGATTGAATAAAGTCTAATCATTACTATAAATGAATGTCAGCGAAAGCTTTTCTATTTCAATTGTTTTGACAAATACGAAAATTAAAATTTAAAAACTTCGAAGAATAGCCAGCAAAAGCTTCTCTATTTATATTTAATCGATAAAATAAAACAAGACATTATAAGTTCAAATTTACTTTTGTTAAGGTAGAAATCTCTAATTATGATGATCATTAATTTTGAAAAGGGCAATAACTTTAAAATATTGTTTATATTTTGTATGTGTCCACACGCGCAATGCGTGTGCTACAAAATAGATGACATACACGTTTGTTACGTATAATATTTTCTTGTTATTCATTTTCTTAATATTATCCTTGTATCGTGCAAATACATGTCCTAATATGTTATTAATAATAAACTTAGATTAGATGAGATATTTGAGGGATATAGCATCTAATGATGAAATAGAGAGGGAAAAAGAAAGAGCGCCAAACAAGAGAACAAAATCAATGATTTTGAAGTGGGTCGTTCAAATCATTCATCCACCCGTGGAAAATTGGTTGTACCTAAAATTATATGATACGGATAAAATTTCAAAATTAAATTAAATTTAACATAATTTTTAGATATTTTAAATTATTAATTATTGTGGTTTATAGTATTTTGTACAGTTGTACGTAATTATTAAATAATATATGTTGCCTACTTTGTCCCAATACATGTAGCATTGATAGAATTTTGAGAGTCCAACCGAACTTTTCAGATATTTTTAAAAAATTTAAATTGTTAATCATTGTAATTTATATTATTTTTCACGTCATTATTAAACAAAACATATTACTTTCTCTATCTCAATTTATGTGACATTCATGAAATTTTGAAAGTCAACTGAACGTTTACAGGTCTTTTGAATATTTTAAGTTAGTAATTACTATGATTTTACAATAAGTATTTTTCATGAACTTTTCAAACAATATATGTTACTTCTTCTTTCACAATTTGTGTAGCACTGATAAAATTTCGAGAATTGGTCAAATTTTTGTCTTTTAAATTTAAGTTACAAATTACTGTGATTGATAATACTTTTTACATAATTTTTAAATAAGATATATTACTCTCTTTGTCCCAATTTATGTGGCACTAATACAATTTCAAGAGTCAACCATTTTTTATATGTTTTTAAATATTTCAAGTTACTAATTATTGGAATTTACGGTACCTTTTATTTCGACTTCAACTTATACATGTTAATTTCTCTATCTTATTTTATGTGGCATCGATAAAATTTTAACAGTTAGATCGAAATTTGTATGTTTTTAAAATATCATAAATTATTAGTTATATATCCTAATTTATAATACTTTTTACTATATTCTTCGCTTGGTGATTGGTTCCCCAAATGGCCAATATCAAATTCCAAGCATATAATAACTTGTTTAGATGCTTGAAAACATTTAACTATGAATCAAAGAGGTTCAAATCGTTGTATGGAAAGATGAGAAACCACTTGTTATCTATTTTCTATGTTCTAAGAAACTTTGAAATTTTAATTCTACTTCTTTCTTTTTTTCATAACTATCTTAGAATCAATTTAGGATTATTACAAATAGGGGACAAATATTCTTAATCAGTTAGCAGCCATTTTATTGTGTTTCTTCATAAAGTTGCGACTATGCGTTATTTGTCTTCTCCAAATTTCTGTTACTTCTAAGAATTATATTATCAAGATCTAAACGTTTGGCCAAATTGGATAGTTATGGGGAGTAAAAATTTTATTGTATTTATAACATATGTTTTATCTTTTACTTACTAACAACATATTCTTATCCGCGAGGTTGTGAATCTGAAGCGTGAGGGTAGTATACTCCTTCACTTATGCGCGTATGTTGCCCGTCTACTTCAGCTCCCTAAACTTGTGGTTCGACTCGTAGATGACGTTGTTAGAGAAAAATGTCTTCTTGAACTCCACATAGAACTGCTCCTAAGTGTTGATGGTGCAAAGTCCCTTCCCTATTTTTGACTATTTACGCTTCCATTACATCATGGCCATATCTGAGAGGTACAACACCGCAGTGTTGATCTTACTCTCATCACTCTTCACTTTATTTGACTTGAATTAATTCTTAAAATGCCACAGAAAATTCTCCATCTCTATGTATGACGGACGCCTATGAATATAGGTGGTTTTGGAACCTCGACCTTGGCCTCTCTATCTCGGTCAAGCGAAATGATCCTCCAACTTCCACGCCCTCCTTGAGTGCTTTCATCTCGGCCTTTATGATCTCAATCGTGCTCAACACCTACATGAGCCTACACTCAAAGGAAGTGATGGACTCTTTTATATTGTACTCAGCCTGCTGGCGCTCCTCCAACTCCTTGCAAATGTATTCGGTCTCCTCAATAGTGAAGTCTTCAACAGTCTTGAACTTATCGTCATCCACATTCATGTGCCGACCTAATATCTCCACGACGTACCTCGTGACTTCAACCCTTGCGACCCATTCCTTTTCGCCAGTGACACCAATGGCCTCCTCACCAAGTTCATTGTAACTTGCTTTGGTGGTCAAAAGGTGGATGAGATGTTAGTGCCTCAATTGGTGTGGGGTCGAGCAGTACTTAATTATTACCCTTTTGGTGACTCCTTCCCTTGTGATTCTTCTTTCCACCATCCAGCCTGACGTTGATAGGGCTAGCGGCATTTACTGCTCCTTCGTTAGCCATTCTCTTAGTAAAAACTTCGTTCTGATACCACGTTTTCACCGACTTAAAGTTTTTGCTAATGCTTTGTGCTGTGCTTGACAACTTACTAACTACTCTTGCAAGATCTTATAAGCTCAAGCAAGCCTTTAAGATTACTAAGATAATGCATAGAAAGACTTAGAGAGATTTAGAAGAATTTGGAAGAAGGCTTGGTTTTACTTGGAGAATATTTTACAACTTGTTTGATTGCTTTCTTAAAGCTTAGATCCCTTATAAATGAGAGGAACTTCTATTTATACTACTTCCTAAAGGCCTAAGTGTAGATATTATTTAATTTACAAGTTCCTACTTATTAACACTATACTCCATGTTCTAGAGTTATCTACAAGTTCTAGGTAATTCTAAATCTTTCTTAGAAAATATCTATTACTCCTTTTAGAACTCTCTTCTAGTATAGAGAATTCCAAGGCATTCTAGAGGATTCTGGAGGAACATTTAGGGAATTCTAGAGTTTTACACTAACCTCCACACAAATCTAGATTCTTCCCCTTATTACAGTGCTAAATTTGAATTGTGAAGTGGTGGGACATGACATTACGGATCTACCAAAAGGGCAAAGGACTATTGGAGTTAAATGGGTTTATAAGACTAAACTCAATGAGAATGGTGAAGTTGCGCACTTAGTGGCCAAGGGATATAACCAAGAGTATGGTGTGGATTACAGTGAAGTCTTTGATCCAATAGTTAGACTTGATACCATAAGGTTGATGGTGGCATTGGAA